ACGAGAGTTTGTTTATCTGGATAGATTAATGGAAGTTAAATGATGAATACCTTACTTTGTGGAATTTGCAAATTGTTTATTTATTTTAACACTTTGATTACTAGGAACTAGTAATAAGCTGGTTGGGGGGTGTAATTAGTACTTAAAAGTGCATTTTTATCAAGGTTTTATATCATCATTTTGCATTTGAAGTATCAATAACTCTTTAACTAAAGCATGTTTTATAATAATATATCTAATAATATAAGATATCTTTAATTTATGGTAAATGTTCATTTTAAATGCAGGCCTATCACATAAATGAAAGGATTGATTGATGAATTTAAGAACTGAAATTGAAAGGATAAAGAGATGGCCAAACTTAGAAAAGAGATGTCGGTGCAATCCAAACCGGAACACTGTTCGGTAATTGGGTCATATCTGGAGCTATAGATCTCATATTTAGGTCTACGTTATATGGATGGAAAGGTAAGACATAGGTCTACAACTTTCATATGGAACCTAAGATCTAAAAAGGCCATTTTCAAGTCAAATTGTAGCAACAACAAAGAAGCCCGAATCTATCCTCCAGCCCGAGCACTGTTCAGTATTTTGGCCATATCTGGAGTTCTAGAAGTCAAAATGAGCTGAATGTTTACACAAGAAAGTTGAGATAATTTCCTACAACTTTCATGTTTTCAATTGGCTCCAATTTTGACGTTATCAATGAAGTTTTAGGCAGACAAGAGAAGATAAGGATTGTCACCAAGTCAAGAGTTGGTCACCCACTCATCAATTAGTCATCAAATCAATAGTTCCCAATTTTGGCCTATAAAAGGAGGCATTTGCCATGCATTTAGGCATCTTGGTGTCCAGATCAAGATCATGCTCTTGCTTTCTCTCTTTGTATTTTTTGTAATGTTTATGCTTTGCTTTTCTTAATATCAAGTTTATGCCTTTCAATTCCTTTCCTTTGCTTTGTTAACTCTTATCTTATTTATGTTCTTATTTTGTTTATTTATTTTTCTTTCTTTCATTATGTCTAGCTAAGTTTATTATGTCAAGGTGAAAAGGTTACACTAATGGTGTAAGAATAAGTATAGTGTAAACTTAATATGAACTTTAATGTTTGATACTAACATGCTTTGTATTTGTTATCTTGTTCACTCTTTAATGCTTTGCTTGTTAAATGACTAATCTTGATTTATGTTGTATAACACTTGGTACAACAAATGCTTGACACTTTCATAGGTCATACTGTATGGTATAACCGACACCTGAGCTATGAAAGGAATTTGATTTGTTGTTAACATAAGTTATAATCATGAATGCTTGACGAGATTTACAAGTACTAGCATTAATCGAGTAAGATGACTAATGTAATCATGTTAACAATCTATAATCTGATTGGAACCTCCTTTGTGTGTGGTTTCCAATTGAATAATAAGAGTTTATACTATACTTGTTTGACATACCATTAGTGGAACATCTAACCTTGACATTTGTTATTATCAATGTTTAATCCTTACGTTAATCTTTCCATCTCAAAGTTCTCATCAACTTCTTCTTTTTCTTCTTCTTCTTCTATTAGTATTATTATTATTATTATTATTACTACTACTACTACTACTACTATTATTATTGTAATTATTGTTATTGTTGTTACTACTATTATTATTGTTGTTGTTGTTGTTACTATTGTCATTTATAATTTGTATAATTAACCTCTTTGTGGTTCAACCCCTGTCTTGCTGGGTTATTTATTACTTTGACACTCCTACACTTGGGAGAAGACAACAATCTTTTAGTCATGTCAACCACCTCACAAATCTAGAATCTCCTTTGTTTTTTTTCTATTATCTACTAAGAAAGATGAAGAATTTTCACTCCTAAACCTTCCTCTAAGTTTCGACCAACAAGTCCATTAATAGGTAATAATTTTAAAAATTTCCTTTTATATCTTTACCTTGAAACCTTTTATTTTTCATTAAATTACATGTTACCATATTTTTTTTCATTTTTTCTTCTTTCATTTGATTTTTATTCTCATTTCAGTTTTTTTTTATTTTTCTGGTATTTTTCAAGTTTTCATTTTTTAAAATCAATATAGAAACTTTTTTCATCTAAATTTCTCGACCCGATATCATTTCCCTAGGGTAAAGATAAATTTGATATATTTAGTGTAATATTTAATTCACTAACTTTGTAGTTTTACATTTATAACATAATATTTACACCAGTGTGTATATAAAAATAATTTTTCTGAATAATACTAGAAATCCAATTCCACTCCTTTTAAGATAAATATTCAATTTACTCACCTAGAAAAATAGTTATTTCCCATTACGTGTAGATTTATTCAAAGTTTCACAACACAACTATCTTATTACATAAAAGAAATCAAATGATGAGAAAAATATAATTCATATAACCAAAAAAAATAGAAAAGAACAATACAAAAAAAGAGAAAGGGAGAGCATAAAAAGATTTTTAGTCAAAGATTGTTAAAATTAGAGTTTGAAAGGAAATGTTTTATAAAAAAGAGATAGAGAGAGTATATATATATTCTCAACATACATAATTAAATTAATAGTGAGAAATGTATAAAAAATTAACACACATAGTCAATGATTAAAAAAAAAACTCATTGTTTTATATTTAGTCATTTTAGTAAAATAATAAGCTATCATTAATAATAAACCTTCATAACATAATTCTAAAATTAGCTAGAGTCGGGTCACAAGCTATGAAAATCAATTCTAATTTGTTTTTGTTTTTAAATCAAATTAACATTGTTTTAATTAAAAAAATTAAAAATTAAACAAGTTATTACCTTCACTAAATATATAGAAATTTTTAACTGAGTCAAATAAAGATTTTTTTTTCAACAAGTTATTACCTTCATGTTTTGAACCCAAAGTTAGCAAGATTTAAAATCAACCATATATCTAGTACGAGTTTTAAAATAATGTATGATAAGAGCAATTCCAACGTAAGAGATAAATGAAAAGCTAAAATAAAAAAAAAATATTCTTTTAGGTATTATCTTTGATTTTAATAGCTCCAACAAGATAGTTGTTTGAATAACTAAAATACATTTTCTCGACCCGATATCATTTCCCTAGGGTAAAGATAAATTTGATATATTTAGTGTAATATTTAATTCACTAACTTTATAGGTTTACATTTATAACATAATATTTACACCAGTGTGTATATAAAAATAATTTTTCTGAATAATACTAGAAATCCAATTCCACTCCTTTTAAGATAAATATTCAATTTACTCACCTAGAAAAATAGTTATTTCCCATTATGTGTAGATTTATTCAAAGTTTCACAACACAACTATCTTATTACATAAAAGAAATCAAATGATGAGAAAAATATAATTCATATAACCAAAAAAAATAGAAAAGAACAATACAAAAAAATAGAAAGGGAGAGCATGAAAAGATTTTTAGTCAAAGATTGTTAAAATTAGAGTTTGAAAGGAAATGTTTTATAAAAAAGAGATAGAGAGAGTATATATATATTCTCAACATACATAATTAAATTAATAGTGAGAAATGTATAAAAAATTAACACACATAGTCAATGATTAAAAAAAAAACTCATTGTTTTATATTTAGTCATTTTAGTAAAAGTAATAAGCTATCATTAATAATAAACCTTCATAACATAATTCTAAAATTAGCTAGAGTCGGGTCACAAGCTATGAAAATCAATTCTAATTTGTTTTTGTTTTTAAATCAAATTAACATTGTTTTAATTAAAAAAATTAAAAATTGAACAAGTTATTACCTTCACTAAATATATAGAAATTTTTAACTGAGTCAAATAAAGATTTTTTTTTCAACAAGTTATTACCTTCATGTTTTGAACCCAAAGTTAGCTAGATTTAAAATCAACCATATGTCTAGTACGAGTTTTAAAATAATCTATGATAAGAGCAATTCCAACGTAAGAGATAAATGAAAAGCTAAAATAAAAAAAAATAATATTCTTTTAGGTATTATTTTTTATTTTAATAACTCCAACAAGATAGTTGTTTGAATAACTAAAATACATTTTACACATCTTTATTAAAAAACCAAAAGTAAGAAGAAGGTACATATATTCATTAGTCAATATCTCTTTATCTGTAATTAGCCTTTATTTCCCTCTTTAAAAGCAGAACAAGAAGAAAAAAAATAAGTCTGCAAACCTTAAAGCCTCCTGTTTTAATTCTTTTTAGGTCTAAAATAACTGAAAATTAAAAATATTTATATAAATAAATTTTGATTTTAAAAATTTAAAATTTGAACAGGAGGTCTAAAATAACTGAAAATTAAAATTTGAACTTAAAATTATATCTTTTAACTTTCATATTATTTTTTAATTTTATATTTAATTTTATAAATTACTCATATTAATTATATAATTAAGAACATGATTATATTATATAAAATATAATTAAATTAGTTATATAATTATATTAAAAATAGTTTAATATAAAATATATTAAAATATAATTAGCTTTTATAAATAGTTTTTTACCATTGAAATGAACATAAATAAATAAAATATATATTTATACTATTTAAAAAACTATTTTAGAATCTTAAAACATAATAGACTCAGTTGCTTTTTGGTCTGAAAGAACTGAAAATTAAAAATATTTATAAAAATAAATTTTGATTTAAAAATTTAAAATTTAAAATTATAATTATATCTTTTAATTTTAATATTGTTTCATTAATTTTATATTTAATTTTATAAATTACTTATATTAATTTTATAATTAATAACATGATTATATTATATAAAAAATAATTAAATTAGTTATATAATTATATTAAAACTAGTTTAATATAAAATTTATTAAAATATAATTAGTTTTTTAAAATATTTTTTTTACCATTAAAATACACATAAATTAAAAAAAATTACACTATTTATAAAACTATTTTATCAATTTACATCAAAATTGGAGTTGCTCTATCTTGTTAAGAGACTAGGAAAGTTTGGGGAAAAAGGCAGAACGGTGTCGTTCTCGTCAACAAAAAAAAAAAAAAAAAATTCTAAAAGCCACGAGTTAGAACTCCAGCAGCAGCAGCATTATACGTGGGAGCAAAGGTATGAAAGAGGGACGGCATTGCAGTAGGCACCATTAAATAAATGCCATGTTATCATCAAGCAAGAGCAGTTCATATCATTCAACAGCTTAAAAACTGTAAGGATTTCATTTCTGCAATCTCAACACACGCAAATCTGTTCAAATTAGGCCTTTTAAATGATACCATCACCACTAATCATCTGCTCAATTCATACTTGAGATTCCGAAGGATTCAGTATGCACGCCATCTGTTCGATGAAATGCATGAACCAAATGTGGTCTCATGGACCTCGCTCATGTCAGGTTATGTCAACATGGGCCGACCCCAATCTGTTTCCTGGCTCTATACAAAGATGTCCGAGAGTGAAGTTAGTCCCAATGGTTTCACCCTTGCGACAGTGATCAATTCATGTTCAATTCTTGCTGATCTCAAAACTGGCAAGATGGTCCATGCCCATGTTCATATTCTGGGGCTTCAAGGCAACCTTGTGGTCTGTTCTTCGTTGGTTGATATGTATGGGAAATGCAATGATGTCGATGGAGCTAGGATGGTTTTTGATTCGATGAGTTGTTGGAATATTGTTTCTTGGACCGCAATGATTGCTGGTTATGCACAGAATGGAAAAGGATATGAAGCACTTGAGGTTTTTAGAGAGTTCAGTAGTTACATAATGGAACGTCCCAATCATTTTATGTTGGCCAGTGTGATCAATGCTTGTGCTGCCTTAGGGAGGCTGGTTTCAGGGAAAGTCACGCACGGGGCTGTGATACGTGGTGGGTATGAGTTGAATGAGGTGGTTGCGAGTGCGCTTGTGGACATGTATGCCAAATGTGGGAGTTTTCTTTACTCAAAGAAGGTTTTTAGGAGGATTCGAAATCCTTCTTTCATCCCATATACTTCAATGATTGTGGGTGCTGCAAAATATGGACTTGGGAAGCTATCGCTCAAACTCTTTGAAGAGATGACTGATAGAAAAGTCATGCCAAATGATGTCACCTTTGTTGGGATTTTACATGCATGCAGCCATTCAGGACTCGTTGATGAAGGCCTTGGACTCCTGAATTCCATGCATGAGAAACATGGAGTAATGCCTGATGTAAGGCACTACACTTGTGTTGTCGACATGCTCAGTCGAGTTGGCCGTCTAGATGAGGCTCACAAATTAGCAAAATCTACTAGGGTGAACCCCAATGAAGGGGCCCTTTTGTGGGGCGCACTTCTTTCTTCTAGTAGGCTTCATGGACGAGTGGATATTGCTGTTGAAGCAAGTAAGTGGCTGATTGAATATAATCAACAAGTGGCAGGTGCTTACGTCACATTATCAAACACTTACACATTGGCTGGGGAATGGGAAAATGCTCATAGTCTTCGTACTGAAATGGAACTCGTTGGAGTTCACAAGGAACCTGGGTGCAGCTGGATTGAGATAAAGGACTCAATTTACGTGTTCTATGCTGGAGACTTATCGTGTGAAAGAGGGGATGAGGTCATTAGCCTGCTGAGGGAGTTGGAGAGGAGAATGATGGAAAGGGGTTGTGTTGGAGGGAGTACGGGGCTAGTATTTGTTGATGTGGAGCAGGAGGTCAAGGAGAAAATAGTAGGCCTGCACAGTGAGAGATTGGCCTTGGCCTTTGGGTTGATAAGCATACCTAAAGGAGTCACCATTAGAGTGATGAAGAACTTGAGGATTTGCAGTGACTGCCATGAGGCTTTCAAGTTGATCAGTATGATTGTAGAGAGAGATTTTGTTGTGCGTGATGTTAATAGATTTCATCATTTCAAAGATGGATCCTGCACTTGCAAGGATTTTTGGTGACTGAAAAAAAAAAAAAACAAATATACATTGGCTAGTAGGAGTAGTATATTACTAAAATGTGCACTTGAATTAATATAAGATAATATTGATATAATTATTTGATACGAGGGCTTGTGATTGGACCAAGTTCGCGGCGACATGCATGAATGAGAATGATTGTGTTGCGAAAACTTCTGAATTTATACATTTGCACTAAATTCTTTCTTATTAAATAAGTTATTTCTAGTTATTCTAGAACAATTAGAAGATTTGATAGAACATGTTATGAGGACTGTTGTTGTAATAATACTACTTCCATACATTCTGTATTTTTAACTCTATGCCGTCATGCAATAGTTTTCTTGCCTGCTTGCAGCTGCTTATTCAAGATGGATTATGCATCCTCTGCTATTGTTAACACCCCTTAATCATATATATTCAGGATCAATACGGGATGTAATACTGAGGTTAAAACTTTGCTGTATGTATTTAATTTTTTAATTGATGTGTATTTTGATTTTGTTGATCTTATTGTCAAACTCATTTTTGGGTTTTTTCTAATTATATTTCATTTTTTTAAAAAAAATAGATATAAGACATGGTGTCGTTTTAAACAGCATTGTGCATGGTCTTCTCCCCTGTGAACACAGAGATAGGGAAGAAGAAGTTTTTGAAATATTTTTCCCACTATTATTCCCCTCTCTTTCCCCTCACTTGCACAAAACCCTGTTAAAATCCATACCTATAAGCCTATGCTACCATGATGGGAAAAATCAGGAAACCATGTCTCGACCACCATGCCCTGCTAGCAACTCTTATCACCCACTTTACCCTACACTATGGCAGGGGTAAGGTGATCCTCTCCTCCTTATAAATACCAGAGGAGGAACTAGTAATGAGGAGGGGTTTTTTGAGAAAAAGAGGAACGAACGAAAGATTTAGGGGCTAAAGAATAAGAAAAACAGAAAAGAAAGGGAGAGGATCGAAGGCGGGGAAGAGACTAAAAGAAAGAGAAAGGAGAGAAGCAGGGGAACCAAAAGACAGTGGAGGACTGGAGTTGATGAGAGAACAGAAGGAAACGATAAAAAAAAAAAAAACAAAAGAACAAAGGAGAAGAACAGTAACCTCTCTTTTAAGTCTCTCTCTCTCCACTGTTAGAAGTAGTGCCATCGTCATTTTACCCAGTCACCAGCAGCCACCATCAACAACCACACAATCATTGTCAGAAACTAAAGAAGATACAAAGAAACACAAATAGAAAGAAGAAGGAGAAGCAGAAACAGAGGAGAAAGGAAGATAAGCCGCTGCCTGGAACCACCATCTACAGCCACATTCAGCCACCATCGTCACCACCAACACCATAAGCAACAACAATTGCTACCACAGAAACAAAAGAACGACTAGAGAGAGGGAGAAGGAATAAAACAGGAAACGAGAGGAAAAATAGAGCAGAAGAAAAAACAAAAAGAAGAAGAAGAAGGGTTGACCGTTGTCCAAGCCATTCTCCGGTTAGTAGCTGCTAGCAGCACCACCTCGAAACCACCACAAGTTCACCCCTTTTCCTTCGTTTTTCTTCCTCCTCCACTTCATCTTCTTTGGTTCTCTTCTTCATTATTCACTCTGCATGTGAACATCGGAGAGTGCTTCACTGTTTCCCAGTAAAAAATAATATTTAAAAAATATTTTTCAAAACATTTGTGATTTTTTCTTATATTTTTCTATTGAATTTTGCTTAATATTGGTTTGTATTTTCATACTGTAAAAATACAAATTTGCTATTAAAATATCTGGTTTTCGTCAAAACATTGAAAAAATAAATAAAAAAATGTGTTTTTGTTTTCATGTATATATCAAGTCTCTCAAAACAATTCATATCGTATTTTCATAAAAAAATTCAAAAAATATTTAGCATGCAGTTTGACTTTAATAACCGGTTTATTAAAGTCACGAGAATTGGGCCAAAATTTCAAAAATAACAAAAATATTATTTTGTTGTCTTTTAGTATCTAAGGTTATAACCTTATACATAAAATGTATTCCAGATATTAAATTCTTTTATTGATGTTAGAATGGTTAGGTTTTGCCTGATAAGACAAGCACCTCTTTTCTTAAACCGTAAACAGACCAATAATTAGAAACACAATGAAACCTTAGCACATATTATATAATAAAAACAATGCAGCTTACCTCAGGTAACGCGTATTTGGGATGTTAATACCTTTTCTTTATGCAATTAGTCCTTGTACCCGATCTTTAAGACCAGTTAGGGTTTCTAGTAACCAAAATATTAGGTGGTGACTCTCCTTTTATTTTTTCACTAATAAAAGACAAGAATTCCTTGTCCCCACACATTTGACAAATAGATACACATACTTGAGGGTGGAGGAGAATCGTCGTGACGCCGTGCACGTGCGACAGAATGACAACTCCATTGAGGACCTTGTAGACTAAGCATTTGCTTTATCTGATTTATGTGTTATTGTTGGTTTGTTTGTCATTGTTAATATATAATTCTCATTTGCTCATACGTTTTAATTTTGTACATATTTGTTCATACATTGTATAAAATTATTTCATGCCATTCACATTTAAGAGGAATTATACTAAAAAACTTTAGGTTAAGTGAGGGACTAGTAGCTTACTTTATGACTTTTAGTTAAAGTTTTAGTTTGTGTAAACTTTTCACTAAGTGCTTAAACTGATAATAATTGGTGCGCAAGCCATCCCATTATCTACTAAGCCCCCACATTGCCTTCATGAGGGTGATCACTAGGACAACAAGAAATCCTTTTGAGACCAAGTAAAAAGCTTACTGATTAATATTTAAAAGTGTATTTTTATCAAGATTTTATACCATCATTTTGCACTTGAAGTATCAATAACTCCTTAACTAAAACATGTTTTATAATAATATATCTAATAATATAAGATACTTTTAATTTATAGTAAATATTCATTTTAAATGCAGGCCTATCACATAAATGAAAGGATTGATTGATGAATTTAAGAACTACAATTGAAAGGATAAAGAGATGGCCAAACTTAGAAAAGAGATGTTGGTGCAATCCAAACCGGAACACTGTTCGGTAATTGGGTCATAACTGGAGTTTTAGATCTCATATTTAGGTCTACTTTATATGGATGGAAAGGTAAGACATAGACCTACAACTTTCATATGGAGCCCAAGATCTAAAAAGGCCATTTTCAAGTCCAAATTGTTGCAACAATAAAGAAGCCCGAATCTGTCCTCTAGCCCGAGCACTGTTCAGTATTTTGGTCATATCTGGAGTTCTAGAAGTCAAAATGAGCTGAAGTTTTTACACACGAAAACTGAGACAATTACCTACAACTTTCATGTTTTCAAGTGGCTCTAGTTTTGACGTTATCGATGATGTTTTGGGCAAACAAGAGAAGATAAAGATTGTCACCAAGTCAAGAGTTGATCACCCACTCATTAATTAGTCATCAAATCAATAGTTCTCAATTTTGGCATATAAAAGGAGGCATTTGTCATGCATTTAGGCATCTTGGTTTCCAGATCAAGATCATGCTCTTTCTTTCTCTCTTTGTATTTTTTGTAATTTTTATGCTTTGCTTTCATTAATATCAAGTTTATGCCTTTCATTTCTTTTCATTTACTTATCTTATTTATGTTCTTATTTTGTTTATTTATTTTTCTTTCTTTTATTATGTTTAGCTAAGTTTATTATGTCAAGGTGAAAAGGTTATACTAATGGTGTAAGAATAAGTATAGTGTAAACTTAATATGGACTTTAATGTTTGATACTAACATATTTTGTATTTGTTATCTTGTTCACTCTTTAATACTTTGCTTGTTAAATGAGTAATCTTGATTTATGTTGTATAACACTTTGTACAACAAATGCTTGACACTTTCATAGCCCATACTGTATGGTATAACCGACACCTGAGTTATGAAAGGAACTTGATTTGTTATTAACATAAGTTATAATCATGAATGCTTGATGAGATTTACAAGTATTAGCATTAATCGAATAAGATGACTAATGTAATCATATTAACAATCTATAATCTGATTGGAAACTCCTTTGTGTGTGGTTTCCAATTGAATAATAAGAGTTTATACTATACTTGTTTGACATACCATTAGTGGAACCTCTAACCTTGACATTTGTTATTATCATTATTTAATCCTTACATTAATATTCCATTCAAAGTTCTCATCTTCTTCTTCTTCTTCTCCTTCTTTTTCTTTATTATTATTATTATTATTATTATTATTATTACTATGATTACTATTAGTACTATTATTATTATTATTATTATTGTTGTTGTTGTTGTTATTGTTACTATTATTATTGTTTATAATTGTTGTTTATAATTTGTACAATCAACCTCCCTATGGTTCGACCCTGGTCTTGCCAGGTTATTTATTACTTCGACACTCTTGCATTTGGGAGAAGACATTAATCTTTTAGTCATGTCACTTACCCATCATGTAATGGCTAGACCCTATCCATAAAGTATAAACTCCCTAATATAGCCCATCCATAACTAATACATATGTATATATAGTTGCATACGTCAATTCATTGTAAATAATATACATACCATAGCAGGTTGAAATACAGGTCCCCAAAGAGTCTACAATACCCAACTTCGAGCAAGAAACATAAAAGATGAAGAGCGCATTCACCGTGACACCCATTTTCAAGAAGAGTTGGAGTCTCTAAAGACAAGTGTGACTCGCCTCACTAACTTACTCAAGCAAACACCAATAAATACCTTTAGTGAAGGTTCTTCTAACGAACTAATCACCTTTAATCAGATTCCAACAATAGCTCATCCCAAAGAAAAAATGAATTAACAAGGTCAAATGTCTCAATATAATCTAGCATTGGTGCAATCAATGATACTAGCACTAGCCCCGATAGGCATGGATGCATTTGCCAATGAGTCCTATAAGGCCAAGTCATATGATAGCAATGATTAAGATAAGATGGAGGCGTTAGAAGCTAGAATTAGATTCATCAAAGGGGTAGACTTGTATGATCTAGTACAGGTAGTAAAAATATGTTTGCTTCTACATGTGATTGTCCCGAAGAAGTTTTATGTTCCTGAATTCATCAAATATAATGGAACATAATGTCTTATGACTTATCTCAAGTCCTATTGCAATAAAATGGCAGAAGTAGTACATGATTGAAAACTACTAATGCATTTTTTTCAAGATAACTTAAGTAGGGCAATATTAAGCTGGTATATAAGATTGGATAGCACAAAGATCCAGAGATGGAAAGATCTGATGGATGTTTTTGTCAAGCAGTATGAGTATGACACGACTAACAGATTGATATCT